ATAGCAACCCTGTACAGGGTTTCTGAGGCTGTAAATCTTTACGGGAGCAGAAAGGCTCATCTTTCTCCCACGGAACAGCTAGCAGTTTCGAACTGCTGACCTTGCGGCTCGCAGCCTTATTCATAACCACTACGCTACCAGAGTAGGCATTGCTTTTGTTAAGTGCCATTGAGTTGGTTCCACTCATAGCAACCCTGTGTAAGGTTTCTAAGGAGTGGCTGGTGGATTTGAACCACCAACCAACCTTGCAGTAATCAGTTCAGTGCTGATCCTAGAGTGTCACACCATTAGGCAGTTGTTGTTCTTGTTGAGTGCCATCAAGTTGATTCCGACCCATGATGACCCTGCATAGGGTTTCCAAGGAGTAGCTGGTGAGCTTGAACCACCAACCTTGCAGTTCAAACAACTTTGCAGTCTGACGCATTAGGCAGTAGGCATAATCAAAAGCACAATGAGACACTACGTAGACTTACTACAGTGTCTATACGGAGAAGAAAAAAGTAGCACTGGTTAGATGTGAAGAAACTGGAACCTTAGTGCTTTGCTGGAGGGAATGTAATTCAGTGCTGCCATTGTGGAAAAGTTTGGCAGTGTCTCAAAAAGTTAAAACATAGAATTCCTATATGACTCAGCAATTATAACCCCCCTGCCCCAAAGAACTAAAAACTGGAACTCAGATACAATGCTCACTGCAGCATTATAAAGTGGGACAACCCAAGTGTTCACCAACAGATGAATAGATATATAAAATATGTTATACAGGTACAACTGAAAATTAATCAGCCATTAAAAAAAAAAAAGAAATTCTGATACATGGATGAATCTTGAAAACACGCTCAGTGAAATAAGTTAAATACAAAAGGACAAATATTATTTTACTTATATGAAATAGCTGCTGTTGTTAAGTGCCATTGAGTTGTTTCTCATAGTGACCCTATAGAGAGTTTCCAAAGAGCAGTTGGTGGGTTGTAATTGCTGACTTTGCAGTTCAGTGCTTATCCTAGTTTGCCACACCAGGATACCATAAAATACATAAAACATGCAAATTCAAGACACTAGAAAGTAGATTAGAGGTTACAAGGGGCTAAGGGGAGGAGCTTTGGTAGTGTTTGTTGTTGTTGTATGCAGTCGAGTGGATTCCGACCCATAGCGACCCTGTATAGGGTTTCCAAGGAGCAGCTGGTGAGCTTGAACCACTGACCTTGCAGTTCAAACAACTTTGCAGTCTGATGCATTAGCCCACAGCGCCACACCAGGACTCCTGTAGTGGTTACCAATTGGGCTGCTAACCTCAAGATCAGCAATTCGAAACTACGAGACGTTCTGCTCCCGTAAAGATTTACAGCCTCAGAAACCCTATACAAGGTCACTGACTCCATGGCACATTAATCACCACCACCACCAGGGGCTAGGGAGAGAGGAACATGAAGGAATGATTGCTAATGAATACAAAGTTTTTGTTCTGGGTGATGAAGTTTTGCAAATAGTGGAGGTAATTGTATAATATTGTAAATGTAATCAATGCCACTAAAATGTACTCTTAGGAATGGATAAAATGGCAAATTTCGTTATATATATTTTAGCATATAAAAATTTTAAAAGACAGTATTTTCTCATTTCCATCATTTCAAACCTTTACCAAAATTTAGTAAATCAAAACAATTCATTACATAAATTCTGGTGAGACAATAGTTTATGCCTTAAATGTTGTTAAGTACCATACAGTCAGTTCCAACTCACAGTGACACTACATAGGGTTTTTGAGGTGAGTTTGAACAGTTGACCTTGCCTTAAATAGACTGTAACAAAACTGAAAAAGGCATATAGGGATACAAAGACCAACATTGTATCATCAGCTTATGTATTTTTTTCAGTAACTCACCTTTCTACAGAATCATCTTGCTGCCTGACAAAGAACTGATACAATTCAAATGCAGATGTTTTATCTCGGTTTAGCCAAACAGCATTGCCAGCTGATTTTCCCAACTTTGCTCCAGTTGTGCTTGTAATTAGAGGGACAGTGATTCCAAATACATCTTTTCCAGTCAGCCTATGCACAAAGAAAAATTTCATGATTTCATTATGTGTTTCAAGCACAAGTCATCCTAGGTTCTGCTACTCACCCTTGAACTTCTCAATCTGAATTCTTTGCTCTTCTGAAGTGCTGTCATGGCACTCTCTAGGCACCCTACTGTCATTCTGAAATGTAAATGCAAGCCAAAGGCAAGTAAGGTGTTAAGTTGTTAACTTGTTGATTGACTCATAACCACCCTTCATAGGGTTTTCAAGGAATGAATGGCTGGTGGATTTAAACCACCAACATTGTATTTAGTTGTCCAGTGTTTACCCTACAGCGCCACACCAGGCTGGGTGGGAAGGAGAGAAAACTGGGTAAAGGAGGAATCAGAAAGAGACATTAAATGAGCTGTTGAAAACGCCATTAAAAACTGTATTACTGTCAAATAATTGGGAAAAAATTTTTTTGAGACACACACCCACAAGACTAACATGGAGGGTGCAAGGATAAAGCACAGGCCACTCAATCAAGGAGGTCCAGGTCATTCAGGCATGATAAAGGGTAGTCAAGATTTAAGTTCTGTATAAGAACTAAGGTCCCTAATAAATTGTGAATCAAACCCACTTTATAGTGTTTTAAGTAACCACACTTAGAACTACAATTTCTGTGAATTTCCACTACACCTTTGACTTAGATGCAAGCTGCTGTTAAGTTGCCTATATGGCAGGGGTGGGGAACTGGAGAACACAGGGTGCAAGGGCCATATGTGCCCAAGTCGGTTCCGATTCATAGCAACCCTGTATAGGGCTTCTGAGGAATGGCTGGTGAGTTAGAACCACAGACCTTGCAGTTTAAACCAACCTTGGGCCCAGTGCTAATCCTACAGCACTATACCAGGACTCCAAAGGGCTGCATAAAGCCTGCGAAATTTGGTCTGGCACAGCCATCACATTTATTGTTGCTGTTAAGTGCTGTCGAGTTGGTTCCAACTCATAACGACCCTATATAAGGTTTCTGAAGGGCTGCTGATGAGCTTGAACCACCGACCTTACGGTTCAAACCAAACTTGCAGTCGAGCACATTAACCCACAGCGCCATACTAACCATCACATTATTGTTAAGTGCTGTCAGTTGGTTCAACTCATCGTGACCCCATATAGGGTTTCTGAGGAGCGGCTGGTGAGCTTGAACTGCTGACCTTGCAGTTCAAACAGAACTTGGACTCCACACTGTTGTTGTTAAGTGCTGTTGAGTCGATTCTGACCCTTAGCTACTCTGTATAGTATTTCCGAGGAACAGCTGGTGAAGTTGAACTGCCAACCTTGCAGTTTAAACCAACTTTGCAGACCAGTACATTAATCCACAGTGCTACACCAGGTCTCCTTGGACTACACATTATTGTTGTTAAGAACCATGGAGTCGGCTCCGACTCATATGACCCTGCACAGGGTTTTCAAGGCTGTAAATCTTTACAGGAGCAGAACGCCTCATCTTTCTCCCGTGGAACTGCTGGTAGTTTCGAACTGCTGACCTTGAGGTTGGCAGCCCGACTCGTAACCACTACGCCACCAGACTCCACATTGGGGGTGAGTTAACTGAACCACAAGGTTACCAGTCACTCCTTGGAAACTCTATAACATAGTCACTATGCGTCAGTACCGACTTGAGGGCACTTAACAACAACAAATTAAATGTTTGGCCAAATACAGCAGGTTACTTTTAAGTTGTGAGTCCTGGTGTGGTGCGGTGGACTAATCCACTGGACTGCAAGGTCGGTGGGTCAAGTTTACAAGCCGCTCCCTGAAAACCCTATACAGAGTCGCTATGAGTCGGAACCCACTCAAGGGCACTTAACAAAAACAATTTTTAAGTTGATAGTTTTGTATGGCCTGTGAATTATGTTAAAAATTTTGGCAGAAAAATTTTTCCCATCCCTGCTGTATAGGATTTTCTGAGGAGCAGCTGGTGGGTTTGAACCGCTGACCTACAGTTAGCAGCCCAGTGCATATCCCACAGCGCCACACCAGGACCGCAAGAACTGCTTGTATCTAGAGAAAAATGCAGTTCTGATGTAGCACTGTAGGATAAGCACTGGGCTGCTAACAGCAAGGTCAGCAGTTTAAACCCACCAGCCGCTCCTCAGAAACACTATCAAGGGTGGTTATGAGTTGGACAACACTCCCCTTGTAGATGAGCATGAGGTAAGCAACAGCAACTTACACAGGTGTTAGACATAATGTTAAACATGTAACTTTAGTAGTTAAATCAGTTCTCAAAATTACCCCAAGCTCCCCTAGGGGATGGGGGTGGGGAGGAAACGTTTTCCTGACCTATTAGTAAGTACCCTGAGTGTATATTTTAACAGCTGCTCCAAGAAACTCAAAGGAGCTCTGGTAGCGTAGGGGTTAGGAATTGGGCTGCGAACCTCAAGGTCAGCAATTGGAAACTACCAGCTGTTCCAGGGGAGAAAGATGAGGCTTTCGGATCCTGTAAAGATTTACAGCCTCGGAAACCCTGTACAGGGTCGCTATGAGTCCGCACCAAACCACGGGCACATAACCAACCCCACCAAGAAACTCATGGTCACCTGGCGTCATTCTTGCAAAGAAACCAACCAGTCAAAAATACTCCAGCTGAAACCAATTTTTGCCTTAATAAACCTCTATAACTCTTTGGAGGACCTTTGTTGGATTTCTCCCATTAGGAATCTCGCGTTTGGTGAAACTTTTGTTCGCTGTAATAAAATTCTTTGTTTTTAAACAGATTTTTATACTACAGTTTCTAAAATCTGAAAGTGCTACTTGGGCAAAGATGATGAAATCCACAACTTTTCTGACCTGATTTTTCACAAGCGGTTATTTCATAAGGAGCTTCAGAATAGTCCCTTACTGTTAATGCACTAAGTTAGTCCTTTACTTCTCACTAGCCAGTTATATTAAAGACTTAACGGGGGAAAAAAATAACAAACCCAGCAAGCACTTGCACTATTAGTTAGGGTAAAGCACTAGACCGCAAGGTAGGTTTGAACCCCAAGGTCGGCAGTTCAAATCACCAGTCGTCCCTTGGAAATATAGGGTTGCTATAAATCGGAACCGACTCCACGGCACTTAACAACAACAATACTGCACTATTTGAGAATAACTTATTTGGTCCCAGAATTTCTCCAGGGTCGAAAGGCGCTTACTTGTGGATGAACTCGTATCCGGATACGATGTTGCCCAGCTGATCAGACCCACCCAACTGGACCCGGCATCCATAATGCTGAAACAGGTAGTAAAAGTCATAGGCTTGGAGCACCTGGTATAAAAATTCTGCCAAGCTCATGCCATCAGGGCTCTTAAGCCGCGTCTGGACGCTCAGCCGGCTAAGCAGCGTGCCCATACGGAAGTGGCCACCCACGGCCGCCAGGAAGTCCACCAGCTGCTGCCTCTGGTACCAAGCCGAGTTGTCCAAAACTGTGAAGCGGCCCCACTTTCGCCCGTCAGCGAAGAACTGCTGATGATTAGCCGCCAGCGACTCCAGCCCTGCGCACAGGGCGCGTGCGTTAGTTTGCACGCGCTCAGCGTCCAGCGCCTCACGTTCCTTCGTGCGGCCGCTCGGGTCCCCCAGGCGCGCAGTGGCGCCTCCCACCAGCGCTATCACATTGTGGCCGGCTCGCTGGAAGTGAAACAGACCTAGAAGCGCTAGCAGATGCCCCACGTGAAGCGAGTCGGCCGTGGGGTCGAAGCCGCAGTAGATAGTCTGGGGGGAGTGGCCCGTCCTGCCACGGTCGAAGAGTTCTGGGAGCTCTATCTCCGTACTTCGGTCCGGAAAGAACTCCTTGAATAGGCCCCGTTCCTTTTGTGCTGCCAACAATCCCTGAGCGCCCGAGTGGGCCTTACGCAACCCCAGGGGCAAGACTGCTAAGGAGTCAGTTGTACCGAACCACCGGCCGCGAGAAAGGCACCGCAGCATGGGCGCCGCCATCTTGGTGGAGGCAAGAGGGGAATGCTGGGATCTTAGAAGCCCCGCCTCGACTCTTGCTGGAAAGCCGGCTTTATTGATTTTCTGCACTTACGCTCTGGCTCTCGGGAGTCGCTAGAATTTGGACAAGCCAAGTAGTGATTCCGCGTAGACGTCTGGTCACCCTAAATTCTCTACAACTTAATTTCCTCATCCTTATGCTGATAGTTCTTACCTCGTAAGGCTGTTGTGAGGATTAATCACTAAAGCTTTTGGCACATGGGACTCGTGTGACGCTGTAGATAAGCACTGTGCTGCGAACCACAAGGGCGGCAGTTCAAACCCACCAGCTGTTCCTGGAAAACCCTATACAAGGTTGCTATGAGTTGGAACATACTCAACGTCACTTAATAACAACAAAGAAGCGCTCTACAAATGTTAGCTCTATTCGAAATTTTTATTATAATTTAAATTGCGTGTAAATTTATAAACACTGTGAGGGCACGTTTTTATGAAGTATTGTTAAGTGCCATAGAGTTGGTTGTGACTCAGCAACCCTATATAAGGTTTCCGAAGAGCTACTGATGGGTTAGTACTCCAGTGCTTAGCCTACGTACCACAATAAGGCTATTCAGAATACTTGTGGGAGGTTAAGAATTTGTTTGATTTCATACGGAGTTAGTGTTGAAATGCAAACAATTTCATTGTACCAATTACCAAAGCTGTGGATTGTTGTTGTTAAATGCCTTCGAGTGGGTTCGGACCCATAGAGACCCTGTTTAGGGTTTACGAGGAGCAGCTGGTGAGTTTCAATCCACGGCCTTGCGGTTCAAACCGAATTTGGAGTCCTGGGCATTAACACACAGACTTCAAATAATTGGAGTGTTGTTGTTGTTGTTGTTATGTGCCATGGAGTCGGTTCCGACTAGTATCGACCCTGTACAGGGTTTCCGAGGCTGTAAATCTTTAGGGGAGCAGAAAGCCTCATCTTTCTCCCACGGAACATCTGGTAGTTTCGAATTGCTGACCTTGTGGTTAGCAGCCCGATTCGTAACCGTAATTGGATGTTATTGTTGTTGTGTGCCATGGAGTCGGTTCCGACTAGTAGCGACCCTGTACAGGGTTTCCGAGGCTGTAAATCTTTATGGGAGCAGAAAGCCTCATGTTTCTCCCGCGGAACAGCTGGTAGTTTTGAACTACTGACCTTAAGGTTCACAGCCCGATTCGTAACCACTTCACTACCAGAGCTCAGAAAAACCGATTGCTGATCCTGTCTCACAGAGATCCCATAAGACAGAGTAACATGGACTTCCATATCTTTCTCCTACACACTATTTGGTGGGTTTAAAACACATTTCGGTTAGTAGGAGGCTCTTTCAGGCGTATCTCAGTTCCTACTATACACACGCTTTCCCAAGAGGTGGCAGTCTTGTCCAAGATACGTGGAGAGAAAATTTTAAACACTGTTATGTGCTGTGGAGTCGTTTCCGATTCATAGAGACCCTGTACAGGGTACACAGCTCTATATTTTATTCAAAACAAAACAGGTAACTAGTTTCAGACACAAGCTTTAGCATGAGTGAATTTAGAAGATCAAAACCCAGTGCTGTTGTCTACAAGAGGTATACCTTACACACAAAGACAAAAATAGATTTAAAAATTAGATGGAAAAAAAGATACCAAGCTAAATGCAACCAAAGGAAGCAAGAGTGAATATACTAATCTCTGATAAAATAAATTTAAGGTAAAAATCAACATAAGAGGCAAAGAAGGATGTTTGAACAACTGAACAAGATGATATAACTAATAAATTTATATAATTTAAATATGTATATTTATATGCTTCCAATGAAAGAGCCCCAAAATATATAAAGTAAACCCTAATATAATTGAAGAAAGAAATAGACCAATCTAAAATAATAGTGGGAGATTTTTAATACACCACTTTCAAAAACGGACAGAACAGCCAGAAAGAAACTTGACAAAGATACAGAGGAATTAAACAACACAACCAACTTGAACTCATAGATGTGTACAGAGCTTTAACCCAACAACAGCACAGTACACATTCTTCTCCAGTGCACATGGAACAGTCTTCAGAATAGACCATGTGTTGGGCCACAAAACAAACCTCCATAAAATTACAAACATCAAAATACTATAAAGCATCTTTTCAGATCACAATGCTATAAAATTAGAAATCAACATTAAAAAGACTAAGAAAATAAAGTCAAATACATGGTAACTGAATAACACCCTGCTTAAAAGTTACTGAGTAGTGGAATACATAACAGGTGAAATTAAAAAATTTCTAGAAACAAATGAGAATGCAAACACAAGATTCCAAAATCTTTGGGACACAGCAAAAGCATTGCTGAGAGGGCAATCTATAGCAATAAATACACACATCCAAAAAGAAAAAAGAACCAAAATCAACACACTAACACAGCATCTCCAACAGTTAGAAAAATGTGAGCAAAGTAAACAGTCACCAGAAGAAAAGAAATAATTAAGATTATAGCAGAAATAAGATTGAAAACAGAAAAAATATAGAAAGAATCAACAAGACAAGAAGCTGGATTTTCTAAAGGATTAATAAAATTGACAAACCATTGGCAAACCTAACATAAGAAAGGAGAGAGGACACAAATAACACACATAAGAAACCACATAGGTGACATCACAACAGAACCAATGGAAATAAAAAGGACAATTACGGAATACTATTGTACTCCAACAAATTTGAAAATCTAGAGGAAATGGATATGTTTTTAGAAAAACACCACCTACCCAAACTTACAGACAGTGAAGTAGGAGACTTGAACAGACCTATAACAAAAGAAGAAAGTGATCAAGTGTTCATAAAACTCTCACCAAAAAAAAGTCCAGGTCCAGATGGCTTCATTGGTGAATTTTACCAAACATTCAGAAAAATTGTTGTTGTTTAGTGCCTTCGAGTCAGTTCTGACCCATAGCGACCCTGTATAGGGTTTCCGAGGCTGTAAATCTTTATGGGAGCAGAATTTCTCCCGCGGAGTGGCTGGTAGTTTTGAACTGCTGACCTTAAGGTTCCCAGCCTGATTTGTAACCACTACACTAGCTGTTACTAATTCTACTCAAACTATTCCAAAATGTAGAAAAGGATGGAAAACTCCCTAATAAATTTTATGAAGCAAGCATAACCCTCATACCAAAACCAGGGAAGGACATCACTAAAAAAGAAAATTATAGACCAATATCCCTCATGAATATAAATGCAAAAATTCTCAAAAAATCTTAGCCAATAGAATTCAACAACATACAAAAAAAAAATGATACAGCATGACCAAGTGGGATTCACACCAGGGATGCAAGGATGGTTCAACATTAGAAAAACAATCAATGTAATCCATCATATAAATTTTTAAAAAAGGGAAAGCACATGATCACATCAATCAATGGAGAAAAGGCATTTGACAAAATCCAACATTCACCACTCCTGATAAAAATGCTTAACAAAGTAGGAATTGAAGGGAAATTCCTCAACATAATTAAGAGCATCTATACAAAACCAATAGCCAAATCACCCTCATTGGAGAGAAACTGAAAGCTTTCCCTTTGTGAGCAGGAACAAGATAAGAATGCCCTTACTTGCCACTCCTATTCAATATTGTGTAGGAAGTCTTAGCCAGAGCTATAAGGCAAAAGAGGGAAATTAAAGAAACAACAAATTGGTAAAGATGAAATAAAACTCTTCACAGATGATATGATCCTATACATAGAAGACCCCAAAGACTCAGCAAAAATACTACTGGAACTCATTGGAAGATTCAGCAAAGTGGCAAAGTACAAGATCAACTTGCAAATATCAGTTGGAGTCCTCTATACTAATAATGACAGCTCTGAAAAGGAAATCAAGAAAACAATACCATTTACAATAGCTGCCCAAAGGATGAAATATTAAGGAATAAATCTAACCAGAGAAACAAAAGACCTATACAAAGAAAACTACACTACAAGAAACCAAAAGACATTTACAAAAATGGGAGAATATATCATGTTCCTGGATAGAAAGATTTAACATCATGAAAATGTCAATGCTACCCAAAGCAATCTACAGATATAATGCAATCCCAATCCAGATTCCAAATATAGGGACAAACTTAAGGGCTCTAATGCAGGACACATACAGACTATCAAACATTGCAAAAATTGCACAAACGAGCCAAAATAGATGATTGGGACATACAAAAAATTAGAAACTCATGTGCATAAAAATATTTCACCGAAAGAGTAAAAAGGGAGCCCACAGAATGGGAAAAATGTTTTTGCAACAACATATTAGACAAGGGAGTAATTTCTAAAATCTATAGGAAACTACAACACTTCTACAAGAAAAAGACAACCCAATTTAAAAATGGGCACAGGACATGAACAGACACTTCACCAAGGAAGACATTCAGGCAGCAAACAAACATATGAAGAAATGTTCACAATCATTAGCCATTGTTGTTGTTGTTATGTGCTGTGGCGTTGGTTCTGACTCACAGCGACCCTGTACAGGGTTTCCGAGGCTGTAAATCTTTACAGGAGCAGAAAACCTCATCTTTCTCTCACAGAACAGCTGGCAGTTTCGAACTGCTGACCCTGAGGTTCTCAGCCCGCTTTGTAACCCACTACACTACCAGAGGTCCTTCATTAGCCATTAGATATGCAAATCAAAACAACAATAAGATATTATTTCACACCAGTAATAACAGTGAAGTTCAAGAAAGTAGAGGACAATAAATGCTGGTGAGGATGTGGAGAGACTGGGAAACTCCTGTATTGCTGGTGGGACTTTAAAATGGTTCAACCACTCTGGAAAGTTGTATGGCAGTTCCTCAGAAAATTGGAAATAGAAATATATTACGATCCAGCAATTTCTCTAGTTGGTATACAGCCACAAGAAATACGAGCCATAACATGAGTAGATATATCCACACCAATGTTTATTGAAGCACTATACACACTAGTAAAAAGATGGAGAGAGTCTAAGTGCCCAT